CTACAGGCCCCCAAACAGGTTGCCCCATCTCCTCCATTGTTCTCTATGGTGGGAAAAAGTTACTTTCCCCCCACTGTAGAGAACAATGGAGGGGATGGGGGCAACCTGTTTGGGGGCCTGTAGAATTGGACCGCCTGGTCCAATGTTCTTCAAACTTGGTGGGTATTTTGTGGAGAGGCTTCAGCAGCTACCCTGCGAGTTTGGAGCCTCTTCCTCAAACCACCTCCCCTCCAGCCCCCTAGAATATACCCTATGTTTTCGCCATTGACTTCAATGGCCCATAGGATATAATGGGGCCGAAATTGACTCCCCAATCGGCTTGTACTGCTGAAACTGACATGCGGGAGTCTTTCTGCTGGCCGAAATTGATTTGGCCAACAGCCCAGGGTGGAGCCTGTGGGGTTGCTGACAGGTGGGAATGTTGTGGGGCCTTGGTAGGAAGTTGGGGGGCTGCCCTCCAGAATGCTTCAATGTAGGTACAGGCCTGCTCAGAGGTGATTTGCCATTGCTTGCCTCCATGACCCTGCTACTCCTTGGTGGTCTCCCTTCCAAATACTAGCCAGGGCCAGGCCTGTTTAGCTTCCGCGATCTGATGAGGTCAGTCTAGCCTGGGGTTATCCTGGTCAGGGCAGACACTTCTATACCTCACATCCTTGTAGCCTGACATCCTTGCTGCTTCAGCCTGCCTCCCTCTTTGACCAGTCACAGCTATTGTCCTTACTTGAACTGCAGATTGCCCTAGATGTGAACAGTGTTGGAGGTCCTGCTCGCCCACATTAAGGAAGAGGAAATATTTCATGAATTGGAAGTCTATCTTGTGTACTATTATTGTTGTGACTGTGATATCTGTGTCGGAAGTTCTTGCAACAGTACGTAGCTTAGTGCAGGTATGCTTCCAGGTGCATACAAACCAGGCCGGTAGCTAATGCGGGGCCCATGGGGCCCGGCCCCCTAGCAGTTTTTATGGGGCCCCTTCCTGAGCCTTGGCTCCCCTATTCCAAGTCCCCCTGATTGCCAGTCAGCCTGTTGGCAGGGAGGACAAGGGCAGTGATTTCAGAGGCTGACCCTGGTGCTGTGCCGTGGGAAGAGGCACTGGGGCTCCTTGGGGAGGGAGGGAGCTGGACCCGGATGCTCCACAGGGGAGGCCTGCCCTTGTGGGAGGGGGGAGAGGGAGGGAAGCTGTGGCCGCCGCAGCTCTTGCCCTAGAGCCTTTGATTGGATTAGTAGGTGCCCCCCCCAGGCCCCCTTCCTAAAAAGTCCTTTGCTACGGGGCTGATACAAACATAGGAAGACACTGATGCATAAGGAAAGACTGTGGTGGTGGTGTGGATCCTCTTGTCTTTAAGTAAGGCTAGAAGGCATCTGGGTACACTGAAACTCCACAACCCTCTTCAACAGTTTTCCTGACTTTCAGTAACATCATTTCTGGATCAGTAGTAGGGCCGTTGCCAGACTTAAGGTAGGAGTGTCTGCATCCCCTTTTTATTTAATCTGAAAGCATCTTCCTTTGTGTGTGGCGTTTGCTTCCAGGGACTCAGCAGGCAGTGCTAAGAATGTTCCGGCTTTGGTCAAGACTGGTGTTCCTGCCCATCCTCCTAGGGGTGGTCTATGCAGCTCCCACCTTAGATGGAGGTGGAAAACCTGAAGAGATCGTTCTGAGCTTTCGCAAGGACGAAGCCAGCCTGAGTGAGATGTTCCGTGAAGTGGAAGAGTTGATGGAGGATACTCAGTACAAGCTGAGGAATGCAGTTGAAGAGGTAAGACTGGCCTTCCAAACCAGGGCATTGGGGATCTGGGTATTTTGGAGGAGAGATCTACTTTCTACCATTGGCTGGGACAGAATCCCACTTAGAGATTCTTAGCTGCTGGGTTCAGAGTTGTGCCTCTTCTTGTAGAATGACAAACCGAATAACCTTTCCCGAAATGTGTGATGCAGCTGTAGCAATTGGAAAGGCTCTAACAATATAACGTTGCATCAATGGCATATCAGAACATGGGAATATTATACTATGGAAAAAATTACCACTTCCATACCACCAAGTAATACATATACCTTGCAATCGCAATTTTATTCAAAATGGCTTCCGTTTATCGAAGCAGTTACTGATTGCTCTGTGGTACCTAAATCGTCTATACCCAATAGATACAAAGACATAATAGCAATATTTTAAATTTTGTACTTACCTTGGTCAGAGGTTTAAAAGAGTTATATCGTTAGAATAACTTGGTAAATAAGCTTGACAAATAGAGTTGATGGAGGATACTCAGTACAAGCTGAGGAATGCAGTTGAAGAGGTAAGACTGGCCTTCCAAACCAGGGCATTGGGCCTCAGGCGGGATCTGGGTACTGTGGAGGAGAGATCTACTTTCTGCCATTGGCTGGGACAGACTCCCACTTAGAGATTCTTAGCTGCTGGGTTCAGAGTTGTGCCTCTTCTTGTAGAATGACAAACCGAATAACCTTTCCCGAAATGTGTGATGCAGCTGTAGCAATTGGAAAGGCTCTAACAATATAATGTTGCATCAATGGCATATCAGAACATGGGAATATTATACTATGGAAAAAATTACCACTGGGTGACCTTGGCCTCACTTACCAAACAGGCTTGCTGTGTGGATAAAATTGATGGGAGGAGAACAGTCTAAGCTTCTTGGGTCCCTCATTCAGGAGAAAGGCGGGATATAAATGAAATAACAAAATATAAAGTATTGTCAGAATCCCTCTGGGCTAGATGTACTGTTGTATGTGTAATGCTACAGAGCCAGTTTGGTGTAGTGGTTAAGTG